CGTTTTGGAAGGAAGAGGTGCGCCAGTACCAAGTGTCAATATCGAAAAAAGTTTTAGAAAATGTCGTGGGAGTTTTAACTTCGTGAAGCAAAAAGGCTCAGAAGAGAAATTGGAAGAAATAATTGAGGGTAATTGGCGCAGTGCGTTTATGATGAATTATGTTAGGGAGTGTTTTAACGATTTTTATATTTTTGTGTTTTTACGGGGGTTTAGGTCAGGGAACGCCTTTCTTCCGAGGGAATCATTGCGGTCAACAGCGTCGCACCACTACAACTATTTTTTCATTTTATTTTTGTTTTTACTTCTGTGAAGGCTCCGTCGCCCCTGGAGGCCTTTGCGGGATGTGGGGGCCGCACAATTTCTCTTTATTTTTATGCGAGTTTGTGAGAAGAATGCCTGCGAGGATGGCTGGCTGCTTAAATAAATTTATATATCGATGCAACGGAGATGTCACTGCGGGATTTCTTCCTCTTTTATCGTACGGTCTTTTGGAGGACCGCGATTGAGGGAGTCAGGGAGCCGACAGCTGCACGACGAAATTATTTTTTTCCTTTTCTTTATTTTTTTTATTTCTTGTTTCATAGCCGTGCCATATTTCTGCATTTTGATGTGAAGTAATGGCAGTGATTTTTTTGCACGGCGACGGTGTGCAGCGACATCGTGGCCCGCGTGTTGGGCTTGGTACGCCAGCATGGCGATGCCCCGGTGCAGCTTGCCTTCATTGATGAACACAGGCCGTTGGATGCGGCGGTAACTGTCGCTGCAACCATGACATGTTTGCGATTGATTTCAGCAAAGATTGCCAAGCACTGGGAGGGCTCGACCGTTGCGGGGCACTTTTCGAATCGTTGGGCGTTTCAAGTACCAAATTTCGATGCTCAAGTGCTCCTGCCCATCGTGTGGGGGCGGCCTGGGTGTTGGGGGCAAGCAAGGGCTCGTCATTGAGGAAAGGCAGATATTAAACTCGGACTACACCCATGCCGTTGCGGACGTACAGAATTGGACTGCTCAGATTTACTTTCAGACGGAAGAGGCACCCACCTCTCGGAGAGGGCCGCCAGATGGCCCCACGCATGCACGGCGATGGCGGAAACACACAGAGAAATCAACCGCATCGTTTGATGGCCTGGGGCGTGTCAGCATCCGCGCTTCCCCAACCCAATCTTGCGGGGGAGAGACGGCGGGTCAACACTCAGAATTCTCAGGGCAATTCGGGAAAATACATTTTTCTTTTTTTTTTGCCGTCGCCTCCCCACCATCCCCTTGGAAGAGGATTCCGGTTTGGAAGGTCGGGTGATGCATTTTCTTGCATTGGAGGTCACCATCTGGGCTCCGCGTGTGTGGAATGAGGGCATCTTCGAAGTCGTCGTTGGTCCCCGGAGCGCATACAGTTATAAGTATTGGCACCAGGCGGATGCTCAGGTTCAGCCAGCCTTTGACGGTTTGGTATCGTGCAGGCGCGCGTTGGAGACAGTGGGGGGTCCCGCCGATCGTTTCATTGATTTATTTAGGGCCCCACTGCAGACCTTCCAGTTGCAGATGATAACTACTGAGTCCAGCGTCCCGATCTCCGAGCTGCGCGCCCGCCTACGCACGCAACAGCAACGATCGTTGCGATGCCGATTCTGACGTATTTATTGACGCGACGCATTCACGTGCAACGTCGGAGACGCAACCAGAGGAAGTTACTCGCAGCGCCGATGCTCCACCCGATGTTTTGAATTGCCCGACGCAATCGTCGGGAAGGTCGACGGAGCTTATCTGTAAACGACGCTCGACTGTGGTACGACGAAACACCGACATCCTCGCTTTAGGCCAGTTATATGAGGAGGGCGAACGAGGTCGCTCGAGAGATGTGGGAGCCGTCAAAGTGGGAGCGGAGAATGTCCCTAGCGGGGCGATTCACAACCTTATGCCGCACGCACGAACGGTCGATCAACGAGGAGAGCTGTGCGGTCTTTTAGATGGGCATCGGAGTGGCGCCATCGACCCGACTGCAGTACGCCAGGATGCTGCGGTCCATGTTTGAAATGAATCGAACCCCGCTGGACATGATGATTCTTGGGTTACAAAAGGTTGCGGCGCGATCGGAGACGAAGCAAGCGCGCCCCTTGACAGAGGAAGAGATGAATCAAGTAATCCGCAGCCGGACCGATTGGAGGGAACGTGTTGTCTTACGACTTGCGTGGATAACGGCGAGTCGTTGGTCCGAGATTGTGGCCTTGACACCCAACAATTTCACACTGGAGCCGGACGGGACCTTAATTTTGGATTGGTCCGTGGCGCCGAAGATGGCGAGGGCGGATCCCCACCGCCCCTCGCGGTTCGTCAGGATCCGAGAGGCAGGGCGCTTTCGACACTATAAAGCTATGCAGGACACTTCAAGAAAACGAAAAGCTTACGAATATTACTAATGCCCAAGTCGAACGAGCTTTGGCTCCTTGGGATGCCACGGCGCATTCCATAAAACACGGTGCGTTGAGGCACGCTGCTCAAATCGTGGAGACATACAATTTGGATCCACACGTGATCTCGCAGTTGGCGAAGCACGTCGACCCGTTCGACCTTCCCCAGAATACTGTTCGATATTTGTGGATGTACACCACAATGCTGACCCAGTTGTCGGCGCTGGTCGCATTGATGTGAAGGGAGACACTGCTGAAGGGCAGGAACCCTGGCTGAGAGCGGAGGAGCGTTTTTTTCTATGATTTTTATCACAATCATGCTGCTACAATAACGAGACGCGCCACAAGGACGCGTCTGGCCACTCCACAAGAGGAACACGCTATCCCGCTGCAGCAAGTCAACGTGCCCGTATTGAACCTAGAGTGGATTAAAACTCGGTTGAACCCGGCTACCTTGGAGAGGTTCATGCAAGTTTGGGGACTCGTCGGGCGGTCCCCTTTACCTCCGTCTTCCTCCGGTAAAGCGTGCGAAGGCTCACGGAGGATTCCAGCCGCTGATGCGCGATTGTTACGAAAAGCAGGAATAATCGAGGACGCTTCGTCCACAATAACAGGCGGATGGATAATACCTTTCTCGGTTGTGGAGGAGAAAACCACCGGTTCACGACGACGATGGATCGCGTGGCCACGCGACAAGAACAGAGACGACCCTTACGAGGCTAATGTTCCTCTTTTACACATTTCCCATTATTTGCCGCCTGTGATGGCTGAGGCCGCTTCCTGCCTGGAATTAAAGGCATCCCTTTTTCAAGTCTCTTTACCGCGGGGGACTCGGCATCTCTTTCGATGCCACGTGGAGGACGGCACGCTGGTGGAGCTCACACGGCTCCCAATGGAATACAAGGCCAGCCCAGAAATTCTCCGGATTATTTCTTCAGCAATTGCGGTGGTGACGACGGTGGTTCACCGCCTCTGGGCCGCACCTCCATTGGTGCGTATCGACGTATGGATCGATAATATACGCATTGCAGGGTCGAAAAGCGATGCGACACGGTGGGAAACCCAAGCGCTTCGTAATGCGGACAGTTGTCACGCGTCCATGGGGGAGGACCGCGAATCGGGCGCCACGCAGTACACCTTCCTGGGGTGCAGTTTGATCACACTCACCGGGCGGTATCCCTGAGTGAAAGGTTTTTCCGCTCTGTACGCGCCATGCCGTCGCTTAATTCTTAACCATCGCGGAAATGGAAGTTGTGGCGTCACGCTTTTTATATTTGGCTGCCATTTTGGGCACGCGTTTATGTGGCTGCTACTTTTTTATCAAGGCAGTGCGACGACGATTATCCGCACTTCACCAAGGGATTGTGCAGGAGACGTCCCCGACGAAACTACCGCCGTCAGCGGTTGGCTTGGGCGAGAGGTTGCGACACACCATCGAGAACAATCGTAGGCGAATCATCAATTCCACGGAAAAGGCATCGGCCGCCATCATCACGGATGCGTCGCTCCATGGATGGGGAGCCGTTATCATTCCAGACTCCGGCGACGTTAAAATTGCCGGAGGGAAATGGGAGAGGAAACCTTTTCTTATCGTGCAGGCCGAGGCGCGCGGTACGCTTAGCCCTATCGGCCTTTTCCGCCATCTTGCCATCCACCGTGGACGTTGGGGCGCACAACACTTCGCTGCAAGGAGCGGCGAATAAAGGCAGCTCGAAATCACACGCCATGACATGGGAGCTGCAACGGATATATGAGTTTTTGGACTCTCGCGGAATACAGGCAACTTTTGCGTACGTGCGGTCTGCAGAAAACCCCGCAGACGGCATATCACGCGGTCGTGTTTTACACTTCAGGACTTGGCGAAGGGGTGGAACTTGCGAAGGGGATCGGCGGTGTCTTGTGGTTGGAGGACCCCAAAGTCTGCCAGTTCGTAAGTAATAATACGTAAATCCTAACTGAGGACAAAGGATCATGCTAGTGGTCCACAGAATTCTATATATTGAATGAAAAGAAAACATTGAAGCAATTAACTAAAGAACCTTTTTTCCTAACTTGTTTGGTTCCATAGATAACTTCAGGATCCGGCCACCTGCCCGGAAGATTATTCTGCCTTTTTAAATTCTGTTTTGCGTGGCGGTGTGTGAGTTCTGCGGTTGTAATGATCCCATCTGTCTTTTTTGGTGTGCGCTTCTTCTGACTGCTGCCATTTATTACCATGCGGTGGCTGTGCGTGGTGTAGCTGCTGTCTCTCTCCCTTTGCTTTCTCATGATCCTGCAGATCGAATCCGCGTTATTCAACAGCGATATTTTTGATGGTGATGCGCCGTGTTTTTTGTGTCGTGTTGGTGCTGGCACTACTGTGCTGCTGCTCGTGCGTGTTTGCCGCGAAGGAAGAGGAGCAAGAGCCGCAGGTAACGCAGGTGAATGCAGAGTGTGCGGGTGACGGTAATGTTGCGCGTTGGCAGCTCCCTGGGAAGTCATTGTGGTACAACTGCACGGATTTATCTACTGTTGTGGCACAAATGATTTGCGGCATGGGCTTCGGAAACTGTGCGCCCGAGGCTTCACAGAGTCGCACCAAAGGAGTTACGAAGGATGGCGTCTTCAAGATCAACGTCACATCGCCCACTCCAAACATCCTGGAGAGTTGGTGGAAGCGTAAAGTGGAGCCGAAGGCGGCCACCATTGAAAGTGGTCCGACCACACGTCCGGAAGCAGAACCTCCGGGCCCTCAAGAGCACAAGGCTCCCGGTTACACCTCCACAACAAATTCTGATTCTCCTCCTGCTGTCGCTGCGGGTGCGTCTGGTGACCCTCCTCTACCTCAAACTGCGACTCCAGGGGGCGCTGTTGCTAACCCTGCTGCTGGCGCTACGGCCACGACGGATCCTTCTGCTGCAGCCTTGGGAGCGTCGGATCCCGCCCCCTCTGGTGGGCTTCAAGGCCCTTCACATTCTGCCTCTGCTGCTTCTGCTGCACCCGAATCCACACCAGATCCGGAGCCCACAGAAGGCGGCGACCACTCCTCCCATGACCCTCCAGTGGAGCTTCAGGAAGAGACTGCTGCTGCGCCACCGACTCAGTTGTCCCAGACCGGCGAGGACGAGGGTGCAGCGAAAGGCGCCGAAGAGGACACCGCTGCCAACACCACCGACACTGCTTCCAGCGAAGGCAATGCTACGGCGGCAGGCATGCCGGCTCCCCTTTCCTCTGCGCCTACAACGAACGCTCTGGAGAACAGTGTGGGAACTGACGCCTGCTTCCATGGCACCCATCTGCATGCCCTGCCACCGCTTGTTCTGGCCGCACTCACCTACGGGACACTGAACTGAAGAAGTGAATGAGGGCTATTAAAGACAGTACTCAGCCACGGGGATTTGTGAGCTTCTTTTGTTTTATTGCGTAATAATAGAAAACAATGATTGTGTGTTTTGCTTCATTTGCTTCTGCTGCTCTGCTGTGTGCTCCATGTTCTTGCTGCCTGTATCCGTCACTTGGCACGCGTACCAGACACATTCGTATGCACGACATGCATACAACTATTTGAGTGGACGCATGTCTGTGTGCTGCTGCATGCACACTGGAGCCATTTGTTGCAGCTCCTTCTTTGTTTTTTGTGTTTTGTGTTTTTACTTTTTTTTACTCCTTTTTTTTTTCTCTGCTGTTGTTTTGTTGTTACTTGTTTTTTGTGTTTATTTTCCTTGTTTTTTACTTACTTCGGGGTGTTGTGAGTTTTTTTCATTTTTTTATTGTTTATTTTCTTTAATTTCTTTTTCTTCTGTTTCCTAATATTTTGCTCCCCACATCCCTTCTTTTTTGCTTTTGGGGGCAATCACTGTGGACGTTTTTCTTTTCTGCTCTTCCCTCTTTAATTGTTTGTTGCTGCACTCTTCCTGTGAGGGGTGCCGTGTGTTTCCCGCCCAACTGCTCCACTCGCACACCCACCGACACGCTCATGACGACGGCCCTGTGCGCCTCGCCTGCTGCACGCATGAGGATGGGCCGCGACGAACGGCGCGCTGAGGGAGCCGTGACGTGTGGGCGTGCGACGAGGGCCTGTGGGGCGGAGCACACATTTCTTCCCTCTTGTTTTGCTTTTCCTTGCGGCCAGGGCGGGCAGACGCCCGCAGCGCCACACACACAGCCACACCCTGCCGCCGTGTTTTTCTTTTGTTTTTTTGGATGTGTGTGCTGCCACCGTGCGTGATTGTTGAGGTTCGGGCCTTACCGCATGTATCGCTGCCATCCAGCTGTGCCTATTGCTGTGCTGATGTGCCTCCCTGTGTTCCCCTTTTTTTCTGCTCCTCCAGCGTGCACACAAACACACACATAAGTAGTTGCACTGTGTCCTGCAGGAATTTCTTGGCGGCGAGGCTCACTGGCTGCGGTGACTTCCACCAGGCCTGCGGTGGGCGTGCCGATGGTGTGGCCTTCTTGGTGCGCCACACCTTGCCGTGCGAGCGCCTGTCGCTGCTGGAACCAACTGCCTGGAGACCACCGCCTTCCGCGTGTGCCCACCGGCCTGCCCCAGCGTGTACGTGGTGAACCCCTGCAGCCTTCCCGGCAATTGCCCACGCTGCTCACTTTGCGTGCACCATTCGTCGTCTAGGTCCTGCAGCGGTTATTTGCGACGTGATTTCACACCACGAGCTGCGGAACGGTCGCTCACCATCCACGACGGCAGGAGAGGACCTCGCCGCCACCCAACCTGCATGGACGCTGAGCTTTCCGACGACCCGGCACAGGCAACGTGGATCAGCGGCCGCAGCGTCTCGTTTCCCGACGTGACTGCGCAACGCGCACTGCGTGTCTCCCACTAAACGTCCACCCGTTTACATGGACTCGGACCACCATCTGCCATCCCACACTGCGGAGACGGAGGACGGCATCCTGCGATTGGCAGGCATGCTGCCACGACGGAAACATGTTGCCATTTCCCTGCGTGAAGCTGACTGTGATTCTTTTACCTCGGCGTGTGGAACGCCTCTGGCCGCTGTAATCACATGGTTGGAGATGCACCGCGGCACCGTACGAGCGGCAGCCGTGACAGTCCCACAGGAACCTGTACGGACGGAATGGAGCAGGCCGAGTGTGTTGCAGCGGCAGCCTGTCCCGAGCAGAAATGCACCGCAAACGTGAGGACCGCAATCATGCCCTCCGCGGTGGCTTCTCTACGCTGCCAGAAGTCCGTGCGAAACAGCTTGGTGCCCTCTCGATCCCAGGCCTGTGATACCCCGAGGCATGGAGGCGCCACGTTCCTGCCCTCTGGGATCGGCTGTGCTGCGGTGCTGCTGGGACTGCGTCTGTACTCTGCCTCCGCCGGAACCTCTTCCCGACGTGAGCACCGCCACTCCTTGCCGAGCAGCAAGCGGCTGATTGACGTCCTCCTGCCCACTCCTCGGCAGACCGGCACGCGGCCTACGGATCACAAGCAACCCTCTGTGTCGGTGGTGCCGTCCCTTCCTCACACTGAAGAGGCAGGACCACCCCGACCTCCTCCGGAACCTCCACCTGGCGTGTCCACGGCACCTCCTCGTAGAACGACGAGCAGCAGATCAACGTCGCCCTGCCCAAGCTGCAGCAGCGTCTTCTCGTCCGTCCACAATATGAAGGCACACGCCCGACGCACTAACCCCGGCACTCCAATCGTTGCGGAAGGCCTCACATGTGGATTCTGCGACAGCTCCACGGTCTTCCCAACAAGTGCCTCACGCGCAGGTCACTACCGAAAATGTCAAGCGTATCAACGAGCAAAAACGGACAACGCACCTCTGCAGGCTCCAATGACAGCCGTAGCCCTTCAGCCACTCCTCTGCTGCAATCCCCACCAGCCGCTGAGCCGCGACAATCCACGGGAGGCCCTGCCGCACACGCTGTGGGAATGCCCCCGTCCTCGACAACTGAGCATCCGACTATTTGGGAACACACCCTCTCGCACGACAGCACCGTTCAAGACGGAAAAACTGGCCACATCGCTACGGACAGCCCGCAGGCCATTAACGAACAGTGGCTGCAAAGTATAACGAAACAAATACTTCCCTTTTCTCAGCATAGAAAAACGTCACCTTCACACTCGCAATTGCAACCAATGAATTCATTGCGTAATACCGCTCCGAGCTGCAATACTTCCTGGTACCATCCACGTCCCTTGTCGACACATCGATGCGGGTGGGCGCCCATCCATTCCTCCCAATGACGGTGCATGTCTGCGACGCACCCTCATATCCAAAAGGCACGTCCCTCACCACAGCCGGGATCGACTTCGCCCTGTCCGCACGCATCGCTTTGTCAGAAGGGCAGGAGTACGTCAGGCTGGCAGCAAAGCACCCGCCGGCACAACACATCACAAACATCATCACAACCAGAAGCACCGGCAGCACTGCAGAGCGTGGGGCGACGTGGATCAACTGACGCATGCTGTAGCAGAAAACATTTAATGGCTTGACAGGAATAAGAAGCAGTGACAATATCTCAAAAGAAAAATCAATAAAAATCATGCGTACGCAGTCAAATAAAACTACCAATCAAAAAAAAAAAAAGTAATGGGTGCACACAACCACAACACAAGTAAAACAATAAAACAACAAAAAGCCGAAGCGTGGGACGACCAGCGCACACACTCTCATTACTCCCGTAAGGCAAAACACACACACAGGGAGAGAGAGGTCGCCCACTCAATGCAATAAAAACAAAACAGAAACAGTTACGGTGCTCCGCCCATGCAGCCAGGCAGGACGGCAGCGGTGCGTGTCGTGCAAAAGAGAGCACCAACGGGCCTGCATGGGTGTGCATGCATATATACAATGGGCACATTATGTGTGTGCCTCGTGGGGTGAGGTGAGGGCGAGAGTCCATGCAAGGGGACACACACACAGAGAGAAGGAAGAGTGTGTGTGCGGGCGGTGCACGGCTCTCTCTCCCTCACTCTCACGCGGCCACCACCGCAGCCGCACACGCAACAACAAGAAGCAAAAGAGGGGAGGTGGTGTGGAAGGCTGCGGTGCTGCCGTCACTGTCGCCAGGTGTTGCCGTATGATTTGTTTGAGTAGTTCCTGCTGATTGAGGTGCTGCCTCACTCATTTTGACGGTGTTGCTCTTATTTTCTTCGGACGGTGTCATGGAAGTTGTTTGAGTGGTAATGGCTGGTGCGGCTGTGGAAGTTTCCTGAGGTTGTTCCAAGGAACGAGTGACATTTTCAGGCTCCTGCCCCTCTTCTGAAGGAGCGGCAACAATAATTTCAGCACGCCTCGGAGTATCTTCTATGAGCTCCTCACTCTTGCGGCTGACAACATCGTTGTTACTTGAAGGAGATGGCGTATTGTTTCTCTGTTGATCTCCAATTGATTCATTCTTCCTGTCCTCTTGACTGGGAGAAGCCGCCGGTCTCCCTGAAGAACCATCGGGTGATCCAGCTTGCCGCTCCTCTTGCAATGATTGTGAATTTGTCAGTGAATCCGTATGTTCGGAGCTGGATGGTGTCTGCTGTGTCGTTGAAACAGACTGCAAAGGAGCTTCCAATGACACTTTCCTTGGTGCGGAACCCTCAACGTTGTTTAGCTGTGTTTGCTCTGCGGAAAGCTTTCCCGCTCCGCCAGGCACCGTATGACCAATGGCATTGTCGGTAACAACATCACCACTCTCAGAATTAACAAGTGGGCCGACAACAGGTAGCCGGCCCTCAGTGCATCCGCCTCCGCCGGCACCGAACCACAGCACGCAGAGGGCACACACCAGCAGCACACGGCCAGTCATCATCGCCATGACTCCTGTCACTTGCGTGTAGCCTTCAGCACAAACTAACAACACTTCAACGCAGAGTGAAAGGAAAATGAAAAGACACGGCCGCTACACCACAGAAAAACGTCGCACCGTGACAAATGGCAGCACCCCAGAAGCAGCACATACCACAAGACAGAATGAATCAGTGGGAAGGAAAAAAGGCAAAAAACGCATACACACAGCTCCGCAGCAATAATCAGCAAAAGAAAAACAATTAAAAAAACACGAGTAAACAAACAGAAAAAAAGTATGAATTAAAAACACAAAAAAAGCTGCTGGGAATGACTCCAATGTGCATACACCCATCCATAAAAATGCGTCCACGCAAACAGTTGTGGGCGTGTCGTGCATATGGGTGTGTCTGGTACGCGTTAAACGTGACGGATACAGGGAGCAGCAACAAGGAGCACACAGCAGGGCAGCAGAAGCAAGTGAAGCAAAACACAATCATTATTTTCTCTTATTTATTTACATCGGACCACAGTGGACGCGCTCACAAATCCCCGCGGTTGAGTGCTGGCACGCACAGCCCGCATACACCTCTTCAGCCCACAGCGGTGTACGCCAGCGCGGATGCGGCGAGCAGCAGCGGGGCACACACCCACGCAGAGCTGCTGAGGCTGCCGTCGATTTCGCGAAGACGTGACGGTGCGCGGGTGGTCGTTGTAGTTGGCGCCTCTGTAGTCGTAGTGGTAGTGGTTGTGGTAGTAGTAGTCGTGGTTGTTGCCTGTGTAGCCGTGGTCGTCGTGGTCTTCTGGGCGGAATCTTCTTCACTCTTATTTCTTTGTTCTGCGGACGAACTCGTGCCACTTTCTGTATTTTTCTTATCATTCGTAACCTTTCCTTGTAACTTATTGGGAGCAGCACTTGGTTGCGGGTGTGAATCGGGCGCAACTCTACCATCTCCGCCTTCGCTTCCCAGTTCAGCAACCGGCCCCGGAACTGTCGAACCTGGCTCACCGAGCGTCGTGACTCGTGTTCCTCCAGCTGTATGAGACAATTGACCGGAGTCTTTACCATCAACTTGAACTTCGGGAATTGGAGCCTTCTCAGGGATTGCCATGCACACGTATGGGCAGCAGCACAGGGCGAGAACCAACAGGGCGCACAGCAGACGGCACGTCATCATCGTGAGTGTGGTCGTTCAGTGGTGTGGAGCTGATCTGCACAGTGAGAGACATGGAGAGCAGCAGGGGAGACGAGAGGTGCGGCAGACACACACAGAGGGCACACCACATGAGGAGAGGGCAGCAGCCAGGCATGCACCGTACGCCGCACACCACGCACGACACACACCCCAATCCACGGCAACAGGCACACATGCCTGCACTCTGCAATACTTGTGTTGTACAATTGTTGTGGTCAGTGCACGCGGTCATACACAAAAGGAGCGAGAAAAGAGGAGACCACTACGGCTACACACCAGAGGGACGAAAAAAGCAAAGAGGGCCGCGCCGCGTCGGCAGTCGATGCGTCACTTGCTTGCGGACCAGGCGTCGTGCGCGATTGTTGTCGCTCATCGTGATGCATACGCCCTCGCAGCTCCAGAGGGTGGAACAGCCAACGCCAACCCAAACACAGCTGTCAACACGCCATTGCCACAATCGTGAAGTGCCGGCTGGCACCACACACGGCAAGAAGGACACACCAAGACACGCCATGCACCAAAGGGGCGCATCAAGCCCGCAAACAGTGCGCACCGCTCCAACACCGCAGGTCCCTCACGCACGCACGCACCATCCTCCTCCTTCCTTATCTCCGGCTCATTGCCGCCACATCCGACACCCGCACCTCACAATACCAGAGGGAAACACAAAACAACTGAAGCTGCAACAACAACAAAACTGCCACCTTGTTGCGCTGAGGCCACTGCACGAAAGGGTGCGCCGACGACGGGAGTCCATCGCGCAGGAGACGGAAATGAGCCCAACGAGACACCCAAGAGCCACACGTTGGCAGTCTTGTCGGGGCTGCCCCAACGCAACCACAACAAATAGTGCCGCAACCACGGAGCCATGCACCCTGACCCACAGCGTGTTCTCACAATCAGAACAGCAGGGACAGAGGGAATTAAGACACACTACCCACAGTGCAGCAGAGCACCCGAAACACACACAGCCAATCAAAAACGAATGCAAAAAATCGGGAAGGCAGAAAAATAAAAAGGGCGCATGCAGATTGAAAGCCGAAGCACAAAAATTATTTGAGGTCCACATTCTCGCAATGACGCACACAAAAAAGAAGCAAATCCACAAAACCAAGCAAAAGCGTAAAAGATAAAGCCGCATGCACCAATTACGGAGGCAGAGGCAGTCGTCCCTGTCCTTCAGAGAAACAGCTGCTGGCACGACCCCGCCTCCATTGGAGCACATTTCCTTTACTTTTTGCTCATGATTAGAGTACGGTGGTTTCCCCTCGTCCCAATCGCATCAAAAAACGCGTGTATACATGTGGTGCTTGGAAACGTCTTTTCTCTCCATGTTACTTCGTTCACACACAGTTTTCACGGAAGTTGAACCCTCTAAACAAAAACACCTTTTCCCAGAACAACAAACAATGCAATAAAATACCGGTCATTTTGCCCATCACCCACAAGCAAAGAAGGAAATGGGGAATGCAGTGAGTGTATTGTAGTGTTATTGCCACGGTTTTGCACACCTTGAGTGCGGGGCCAATGTGCCAAGTAAATACTGTCGCCCTGCCGCAGTTTCATTGCGCCCAGCCGCCGCGGCTGCTCAAAGAGGCACCACCACTACCGCCACAGCGACCACAAAAAGAGGCACAAAGGGAATGAGGCCAGCGGTAGCAGCAGCCACACAACACTGTCGACCTGCTGTACCAACGCATCGGGTATCGCCTGAAAATCGTCGCTGTTGACGGACGGAATCGGAGTGGCAGACACGGAGGCACTGGGAACCACCGCTGGGCAATCCGCCCGCGGGTCGCCCTCCGCTCGTGCAACGTCCTCGCCGGGCGATGGCGCAAAGAAGGCGTCGGGGCCGGAGGCTCTGTTGGCTCCCTCGCTCCCACTGCCAGGTCTCCTCCCTCGCCGCTGAGTGTTGTCCTCACTTTCGGTCCGCACCCCGGATCACCCCTCGGACCGGCATGAAGGCCACCACCAGCGACACCCGCTGCCGAAGCACCGGGAGGCTCCTTCTCAATGGAGGCACCAGACGCCACACGAGACAACTGTGGACGAGTATCCTCCTGAGAGGGCGACCCTGAAGCAACCGCAGACTCTTCTGCTTCCTTCTCTTGCTCGTCACCCTGTCCACCCACCAACGCACTCGGAACGACAAGACTGCTGCCGTTCGCGGCAATGGTGCACACCTCGCCGTGCGTGGGGCACTTGATCTTCCCACCTTTCTGAAAATCTTTAAACGCCACTGGGATGTCAGTGTCCTCAGGGCAAGGCTGGAAAACACTGCTGCCGAGGTGCCTCATCCTCACTGTGCCCTCCCCACACGACACCTGCGCGCACACTCCCTTGACGCTTTTATGGCCATCACCGTCCTTCGTCTCCAGTAATTCTGCGTCCAGGCACCACGAGCCACCGCCAGTCAGCGACCCACTGAGATAATCCACATTTTCGTCCGAGCACGTCCTGTACGTTGTCCCAGACGAGACTTCGTGAAATTCCAAAGAAACAACAGGGCAAACGTCCTTATCCACCAGACTCCCCTTGTCCTCAACGATGCTTGCGGTGCACGTACCAACGTGACGGCGGTCGGAGGTGCAGCGAAGCGTCTCTGTGTCTTTAGCATCGCAAAACATGTGAGGATACTTGGCGGCAAGATTATTGGTTGTATTGCGCTTATTGACCAGGAAGTCGCAGCCACTGCGATGGCCCCAGCTCATCGGCTCCGCCATCCTCCAATTCACGCGGTAGTATCCCATATGCGCAAACACCGCCATCGTCAGAGCCGTGTAGTAGCCGGCAACAACTGTGGGGGCCATCAGCTCGTCCCGCGCGTGGCGTCCCTTCCAGTGAGGGATTTCTTTTTCCCGAGGGCCATCTTCGTCCTCCAGCACCATGCCCTCGAGAGAGTCACAACCAAAGTGCGCTTTCGCCTTCTCCTGAACGTGATTCCCTGCCACCATCCTGCGGTGCGTCCCACGCACACTTCTTTCAAAAGTTTCGATGCTGTTTCTTTCAATACTATCCTGGCTGAACCCAAGTGCATGCGCAATTTCGTGAGCGGCAACGCGAACGCTCCACGCCGTGTCGGTCATGTACTTCGGATAAAATTTCATGGCGCCAATGGAAGGACGAAGATCACTCAGTGTGTTACACGTGGCCGCCCACACAACGCACACGGAGCGAGGACCCACCACACCAGCCACAGCCGCCAGTGGACCCTCAGCCATCCATGACGCGGCAACAAAATTTCCAGCCATCCCGCCCTCAATGGGACACGGAGCCCAACTCAACGCAGCCACACGCGGTGCTCCACACCCGCAGGAAAGGAGACGCGGGCTGCGCACTCCCTCTCCCTTCCTTCTCCTCATGGCCACGGAAGAAGACAACAGCCGCCACACGCAACTGCCAGCATGCACTGCAAAAGAAGCATTCAAATCCACTGAAATGTGCATCTTGTGTGTGTGGTTGTGTGTGCCTGCAGAAACACAAAGCAAAGAAGTAAAGAAAATGAAGCAGAGTGTGTGGAGAGACGCACAAAAAATGTACAGCAGAGACGCATAACGGAAACAAGAAGAAGACCGCTCAAACTCATGACTGCACTGCAGCCCAAGCAGCGGCAATTCACACAATATTTATTGAAAACAAAAAAGCTTAACCCTTCGTCTTACACAAACCCCATCACACAAAATAATTATAAATGAAAAGAAATCGTCCATTACTGCTCCACACAAATTTAAAATAAGAAAAAGATCGCCTGGCTGTCGTGTGGCCACACCAAAATGTCTGTATGTATTTTGCCCGCAAAAGAAAATTAAAAAGATGTTTGCGTGTGCTTCAGCCGTCCGACCCTCCGCGTGTCCGCACATCGTTTATATTTCATGGGGTCATCTGCGTGTTGCTGCTCCCCTCAGCCCTCTCATCGGCGCGTGAGTGCGGCCCGCAGAGCACAGTCACTCGTGTGTGTGGGGACTGAGAGAAGCACGCAGACATGACGGCAGTCGCGTCACTCCATCGGGAGAGTGAGCGCAGCAAAAGAAAAAAATCATCGGGGGAAAAGAAATGCTCACGAGGCCGACACCGAAGGGTGCGACATCGCAGAAAAAAAAAAAAAAAAAAAAAAGAAATCTTAAAAACACGGCGGCAGGGTGTGGCTGTGTGTGTGGTGCTGCGGGTGTCTGCCAGCCCTGACCGCAAAGAAAACAAAACAAGAGGGAAGAAATGTGTGCTCCGCCCCACAGGCCCTCGCCGCACGCCCACACGTCACGGCTCCCTCAGCGCGCCGTTCGTCGCGGCCCCTCCTCATGCGTGCAGCAGGCGAGGCGCACAGGGCCGTCGTCGTGAGCGTGTCGGTGGGTGTGCGAGTGGAGCAGTTGGGCGGGAAACACACAGCACCCCTCGCAGGAAGAGTGCAGCAACAAACAATTAAAGAGGGAAGAGTAGAAAGAAAAAAAACGTCCACAGTGATTGCCCCCAAAAGCAAAAAATTTAAAAAAAGTAAAAACAAAACACACAAAAAAGCAAACAGAGAGAAAAGAAAATAAAAGTTATTTGAGGTAATAAATTCATTGCCAGGTGTGTGTGTCGGTGCAGAGGAGGTCGCAAGTGTCCCACGCGGCAGCCAGTCACTCCTCAGAGAGCCGTGAACACCCACAGTCCCAACAGAAGAAGCAGCGATGGCAGCAGTCCGCTCCCACGCACTGTGCCGGCATCGCTGTTATTCCCCTGCGACACATTTCCGAGACTGCTGCTGAGTGCCGCAGCCTTTACTTCGCCGTCCCGTGCATGGAGCTCTCCCTGCCCATTCGTCCCTTCCGCCGTCTCCCCATTCGCACCAGAGCTCGCGCCCACCTCAGTTGTATCTGCGGGGTCAACTTGAGCCACGTCCGTAGCGATAGGGGCATTTGCAACTGCTTTGTCGGGAGTATCCACAGGAGTTTGAGGTGGTGTGTCTCCCTGCATCGCACCTCCAGCCTCCGATCCCACCCTTGGATCACCATCGGATGAAGAAGCGACATCCACATGTTTACTTCCGCCGGAGTATATTCCTGAAGGCAGCTGAATTACGGATTGCTCTTTTCCTAAGGAAGTCGTTACAGTGGACGGTGCTGATGGGGACGCCCTGCCACCGCCCGCACCCTGATTTTCATTCAACGATTCAGGCCCCGACGGCGCTTGCCCGCCAGAAGAGGACTGCGACAGGGTTCCCTGGGCATTTTCAGGCACCACAGGTGGACTAGAAGCTTTATTCGGGTTTAGGGCGCCAATCTCCGCAGTACTCAACGGGCGGTTGTACAGCAGGACGTTCGTCACAGTCACAGACGCGTCTTGGACCTCTGAGACGCCTTTTGCACCTCCATCCCCTCCAATGTAGAAGTGTGAGACCGCTTCTGAATCCTTATTCTCCAATGCGCACGGCACATCCCCACCCACACGCTGACCATCGACGTACACGGAGCCCTGGGTGCCGTTCCGTAGCACAATGGCCACTTGGTACTGTGTCTCTGGCTCCCAATGGCTGCTGTGCTCAGTGTTCCTTCCGCCCCTGCACAACAATATCCACTTCTTTTCTTTGTCGTTGTACGACAGTCCAAAAAGTACAGTCTTCTCATCGTCAATCCCCTTAACACCCATCAAAGGAATGTGGGTGATTCCCTCCGGCACCTTGTCGATGGACACCGTCGCCACAAGAGTGAAGTTGTAGTTCGCAAAGTGGTACAGCTGATTCTCCCCCTGACTGCCAACAGGCCACTCCGCCCACGCTCCTTTGAACGTCACTCTGCCTTCATGCAATGTTGCCTTCTTACCCCCATCATTGTTCCCCTTCACTGTGGCGTTCACCCCGAGGTACTCGTCCTTCCATGTGTTATCAGAGAAGTTGCCGGACAAAAATCCAACCAGCCCATCCGTGACCTTAACAGTAGTGCTGCAGGCACTTTCAGGTGAGGCATCATCCACAGCACTGGAGGGGCACAGCTTAGAGACAGTTTCGTCCACTTTCTTCCAGGTCGTCAGCACCTCCTTCACCCGCTTCAGCTGCTCAGTCAGAGGCACAGACCAAAGATTGTGTGATGTTTTTTCCCCGCCCTTCTTCTTCTCGTACAGTGCAATCAACTCTTCCTTCTCATTATTATCTTTACCACTTTTGTACAACAGGGAGCTGGCGGCAGCGTCATCATCATCACCGGATACCGGCCCAATATCAACAATGTGCGTATTGTCCGTCAGCCAAAGATGGAGTTCACCTTTTTCTTTTTTACTATCAGTCTCTTTGGCATACACCGGCAGAGTAACGAGCATCGCATTTCTGTTATCTTCAACACCGCCAATCGTCGCTGTGATGAACCCGCTTCTAACGGCCTTCACTTCTGCGCCCTGTTTGTTGACCCACACGCGCGAGAGTGTCCCGAGGGCCTCCGTCCACGAATCCCCCTTGTCACCGGACTCGTACACCCTGCGGCGGCCATCACCACATGCAGTCATCATGATGAGTTTTTTGTCCTTCCACTCCACGACGGAGGGATCACTGCAGCCACCGTCAGACATCCCCTTCGACAGCTTCCAACTATTAGTATCCTTCAGGGTGTATATGAGCAGCGAAAAGGTCTTTTCATCGTTTTTTGCTTCACTCTTCTTCGTGCCTTCCACTGGCAACACAAGTGTACCGTCATGCATCTTAACGCCCGATCCGCCGCTTCCAATCAGTCCTGTCCAGGAATCTAGTTTGCCAACAGATGCCCGCGGAACAGCGTTGGCATCGCTCCACTTGATTCTTTTGCCACCGCCACTTTCGCCACAGACTTCCCCTTGCACCAGCAATAATCCCCCGTCATCGGCAACTCTATCCTGATCAGCGGTATCTGTCCGGCTGTATTTTCCAGCAAGCATGTAAATATTACTTCCCTCCACAACTGTTGTTGGTCGGCTCACATCTACTTTCTTCTTCTCCTCTGAGGAAGTGACTTCCTCCAGAACTTGTGTTTTCTCCTTGGCATCCTTCAGCACTTCCTCCGGTTTGTTATCCTTTTTCATCGAGAGTATTTGGGATGCAATGCCAGTAAAGACGGTGTCTGGAGACTCCTTGCACTGCGCCTCGGCAACGGCAAACACATCACTCCCCACTTTCAAAAGACCGGGAACACCCAACGATTCCACAGTTCCACCACCATCAGTGACGGCTCTCCATTTAAACTTTGGAGCAGACAACTGCACCACCTGAGCTTGCGCAGCCACACCACTGCCGCAGCACATCATCATAAAAAGGAGCAGCACCGCGGAAGTAAACACACGCCGGGACATGTTGGGCCTCGGCGGCTCACTCTCTCTTCCTTCCCTCCTCCTTCCGCTGGATCCGGTCACGCGGCGACGGTTGTGTGTGCGGGATGCCATGACAGCAGCAACACGTGAGAGCATATAAATATGTGTGTGTGGGCGGTGTGTGTGCTGTTGGTCCTTTCAGAGCCTTCGAATTTCACAGTAGCGATTAGCGCTTGTTTGCTTTCTTCGTAAGAGAGTGACAGAAATAGAGAGAAAACAGAGTAATAAAAAAGTGATGGAATAAACACCGCCATCCACAGTGAGTGGCACCACCATCCCCGCCGCAGTCACTCCCAACAACAACAACTCACGCACAGACACACGGAACGAGAAGGAAAAACAGTGCACCGGAAACACACAGCGACTGCCACCACCAGCAGGAGCCACGGCGGGTGTGTCGTTATTCACGCGTCAGCACACACCGAGCAAAACCCGGCAAAGCAACCGGCAGAATGCAAACGACAACAGCCGTCCTTCGCAAAGCCCACGTGCTGTCGCCAGTCATTTTACTGTTCACCCTCCAACGCACATCACCCCACACAGGCGAAGAATCCCTGAACAAAGTATACACACCATAGGAGATACACATTGGCACGTGCAGCAGCTGGGCGAGAAGCAATGCGCAGTTGTCCCAGGCACCTTAAGCCAAACGACCCAATCGACTGCACGCCAGCAACATGTCAAAAAATAAATCGCAGGATCCCGTCCTCCCTCCTCGCAAGGGACTTCACAGCCGGAATCTTCTGGGTACATCCGTTCTCAGCAATCACGCCGCTCTACAGCGTATGCATAATGGCGTGCATGTGTGCTTGTGTGTTTGTCAGTATATATACTTGCAGAGCAGCTGTGCGGCACAAGAGAGTCCAAAGAAAACAATGGAAAAAAGAGAACAATGGCACACACGCAAATTACTCATATCATCACACACACACACACAGCCCGCGGAATGGGTGCACTCAACCACAAAACAATGAAAACAATAAAAAACAAAAGCCGAAGCGTGGGACGACCAGCGCACACACACTCTCATTACTCCCGTAAAGAAAAACACACACAGAGGGAGAGAGAGAGAGGTCGCCCACTCAATGCAATAAAAACGAAAACAGTTACGGTGCTCCGCCCATGCAGCCAGGCAGGACGGCAGCGGTGCGTGTCGTGCAAAAGAGAGCACCAACGGGCCTGCATGGGTGTGCATGCATATATACAATGGGCACATTATTGTGTGTGCCTCGTGGGGTGAGGTGAGGGCGAGAGTCCATGCAAGGGGACACACACAGAGAGAGAAGGAAGAGTGTGTGTGCGGGCGGTGCACGGCTCTCTCACCCTCACTCTCACGCGGCCACCACCGCAGCAGCAGCCGCACACGCAACAACAAGGAGAAGCAAAAGAGGGGAGGTGGTGTGGGAGACCGCGGTGCTGCTGTCGCTGTCGCCAGGTTTTGCCGTATCATTCGTTTGAGCTGTAGTTGACGCTGTCCCACTGAGTGTTGGAACAACGTTGTTATTGCCAGTTTCAAGGCTGTCGTGTTGTCCTTCATGGCTTTGAGCATCATCCTCATCTGCCTTATTGTGGACATGATCACCGCTGCCACTTGCAGAGGTAGATGATGAGGTTGTTTCTGCTGGAGTGCCGGTTGCTGCATTCCTTGCCGAATCCTCTGTGTCTGTGTCATGACTGTGCTGCTCTTGTGTAGCATCCTCTGAAGGTGGTGCCGGTGCTTCTGAGCCCTTTTTGGATCCTGACGGTGTGTTTTCGTTCATTACTTCGGTTATTTTCTGTGAGCTTTCTTTTTCTGCTGTTGGGTCTCCTTCACCTGCTGTTGATGATGGTGCAGGTCCACCCGATGGCGGTAGTGGTGCGGGTAATGATGGTGGTGGTTTTCCTCCTCCATTATTCTGGCCCTCGTGTTTCTCGGGTTGTAATGTGTTTTTTCTTGTTTTTTTTTTCCTTCTCTTTTTCTCCATCCTCTTCCTCTATCGCGTCATCACTTCCATTTTTAGCCTGACGACTGGCATCTCCTTTTGTCTCTGTGTCATTGGGCAATGGAGTAAGGTCATCCGTACCCGTCGAAGAGGATTTTTCACCAGAACGAGTGGAAGAGCTGCCAGATGGAGAGGGCAATTGATCGTTGGTTCGGTCTTGGGACTCCTTTGGCTCTTTGCTGCCGGGATCCACGTTGTTTTTTTCATTCGCTTTTTGGCCAGCCGCAAGTAACTGTCCGTTTTCATCACCCGTCCCTGACACTCCAGGCCCAGGCAGCGATGTTGTTGCTGCACCTGCAGGACCTTTCCCTTCTTTTGGACCAGGCGCTGCATTGTCCTCAGTAACGGCCAGCAGACTATCAGGCGATGCTCTTCCCGCACTTTCTAATTCTTCTTCTCCTCATTCCTCAGCCGCAACCGCCTTTATTAATCCCATTCGGGTAGAAATCAACCCGAAATCCGCCTTCAGGCGCAGTCCATCATTTCCTCCATTATGCGTGTGCGTCAATACGTTCCCATCATCCTCAACGCAGCGGTTGTCCCTTGGATCTCCGCCGGCACCGCACCACAGCACGCAGAGGGCACACACCAGCAGCACACGGCCAGCCATCATCATCGCCATCACTCCTGTCACTTGCGTGTAGTCTTCAGCACAAAATAACGCCCCGTCAACGCAGAGTGAAAAAGCAACAGACACGGCCGCCACACTGCAAAGTGACAAATGACAGATTGCGCACACCATGAGGCAGAGGGAGTCAGTGCGATTGCGGAACTCGCTTACCGCTCTCCAAACCAATAAATAAATAAAAAACGGAAAAATCACAACAGCGAAAGAAAAAAAGCAAAAGGGTTGAGAGTCCGGCAATAAAGCAAATAAAAAGTGAATCAAGCAGAACCTCTTTTTCATGTGCCATGCAGCACAATAAAACGATCACTTGTTTCTGTATGTATATAATGCCTGCAGTAAAATAAAAAAATAAAAAAGATCGTCCTGTTCCACCAGCCCTCACAACACTCTTCACATTTCACTGCGGCATCCGGCCTGCTCTTCCAATCCTCCTTTCGTGCAGTCCGTGGGACGCACAGCAATGAGGCCGGCACCGCGTGTGGGCAAAACAAAACAAAACAAGAGGAGAAGCACGTCACTCATGACAGTGTGCAGCAACCGACCATTGAATAAAGGAACGGCAACGATGCTCATCATTCGAGGAAAACAACAAACCCAAACAGTAAAACGTAAATAATAAAAGGAAACACGCATGCAACGCGGCACATGTTCTCCGTGAGGAGCCGCAATTCCACACTCTTCGGCTCACAAGACCGCCACAGCTCCACACAATCCCAGAAGAAGCAGCAACGCCCAGTACACGCACACACGCACAGTGCCGTCAACAGTTAACTCGCGCAGTGTCAATTTCGCGTCGTTGAGCAGGGCAAAGCAGTCGTCGGGACTCACACCGCTCCCGGAATACTGCGCGGTGAATTCCCGCAATTGGGGTTTGTTCTCGTGTCCAGAGGCATTGCGTTGAGTCAATCCGTCCGCATCACCCCCAGCAACAAATCCACTGCCCGCAACGCCATTTTCTAAAACTAGAGATTTGTGTCCGGTGGCGTCGGGCTCACTCACCTCGTCCGTGTTATCCGCAGCAACGTGTTCCCTGCCGCCATAAGTGACAGACATGATCTCGGATGCATTCGACGCCAATAATATTCTCGGACCGTTGGCAAAGGAAGGCCTCTTCGTGGATGCATTCGGGACCATCACTTCGATCGGATTGCTGGCAAACTCTGGCCTCGTCTCGGACGTGTTGGTCGCCGTGTTGGGTGCGGGACTCCGATCGACGGTGTTGGGTCCGTCAGCCGCCGCAGACTGTCGCCAATCCTCGTGTTGACGTGACGGCTCAGCATTCACTTGCGGCGCAGTTGTCCCACCAGATTTTGTGTCATCCCTCCCTTCACGGGGTGGCGGCAACTGACGGATGCCGTACGGTCAGCATCGCCGCTCCGTGCAGGCGGATGGATGGTTCCATCGGGGGAAAATTGACGCCACCACAATTCATAAGGGCCGGCGTATTTATGTGTCGTCACATTCATCGTGAAGGCAACGGTGGCCCCTTCCTCCTTCCTTGCACAGCTGACAGCACAGTTGCTACATGTGTGCAACGCATTCTCCACATGGCACACAGCACCCAGCTCACCATTCCTGCTGTGCATGCGCACACCAAAGCCACTGAAATTATAATTCTCACACTCAGCCTCAGCACTGGCAGCAGAACACTTCTTCCACGCACACACACACGCGATAGCTCAGGCTGCCGTCACTCGGAGCACACGACACATCCACCGGCACAACCACCGCATCCGCATCACTAGATACATCTCCACGACTCCCAGCAGCCGTCACGCACACGGACGAGCAGCAGCAGCACAAGAGCGCAAGGACCAACACGGCGCCGCACCGTCACCATCGTCACCCGTGGTGGAGTCGCTGGAGCCAGCCAGCTGATCGGTGAGACAGAAGAAAAACAATCCAACAAGAGGGAGAGGGACGGAGCACAGCGGATACAGCAAGAGAGAGCAGACAACATGAGGAGAGGGCAGCAGGCCCAGACGCACAGTTCACACACCACGAGACGGCATCCACGCAGGAAAGGCACACAACGCCAGCAGCCACCCACCATGCAGGAGGAGAAGATATCCACCACCATCTCCCCCCAGCTCATTCCTGCAGCCCCAGGGAAATGGCCAAAACCCGCGGCCACCACACAACGCACACGGAGCGAGCACCCACCACACCAGCCACACGCAACAGTGGACCCTCAGCCATCCATGACGCGGCAACAAAATTTCCTGCCATCCCGCCATCAATGGGACACGGAGCCCAACTCAACGCAGTCACACGCGGTGCTCCACACCTGCAGGAAAGGAGACGCGGGCTGCGCACTCCCTCTCCCTTCTCCTCATGGCCACGGAAGAAGACAACAGCCGCCACACGCAACTGCCAGCATGCACTGCAAAAGAAGCATTCAAATCCGCTGCAATGTGCATCTTGTGTGTGTGCCTGCAGAAACACAAAGCAAAGAAGTAGAAAAGAGGAAGCAGAGTGTGTGGAGA